CACCCTCRCTTAATTCTGCACTTGTGCACACATCTCACCTTCAGACTCTTGCTTTTTTGGGGGGCCACCTGGCAAAGACTCTTCCCTGCTTTCTTCTTCCTTGCTTATTATTTTTTCTTGTTTCGCATGAGCTCTTGGTGGAAAAAAAATCCCTTCCCTGTTTCTCGTTGAAGGCAAGAGAAAACAACAAACAAGAAGTGTCATTTTGTGGTGACACTGCTCTAGAGCACAGAAGCTCTTCCTCCTCCTTGTCAAAGCAATCGAGCCTGGTAAGCAACCCTCAATGCTTCTGTCACCGCCTTGAGATCCAGGTTGTCTGCACCCTTCAGACACAAGAGGAGTTCTTTGAAAGTATTCTTGTACTCTCAAAAAGCAGGGGGGAAAAAACTCAGACGTACTCGATGTGTGTAGCAAAGGCTGCTATCTCTCTTGCCTTTAACGCAAGCAGGAAGCTTCTAATGCCAGTAGCTCTTTCAGATATGGAGCGGTTGGCTTTGTTTTTGCCAAAGAGGGTCTTCAAGCACCAAGTACCTGCTGCTTGCTGTGATGGGCTTGGCTTCCGTGCAGCTCTTGAAATGCTCTCCATGTTCATCGAAGCAAGGTTTGCTGGCAGACCTGAAACTGAGACTCCATGGGTCGCTGGTGCTGGTCGTTGCCCRGTGTTGGTCCTACCTCACAGTTGAGGTTCAAGGAGTCAGGGCAGATAGACCCCAGGTGCTGGATCCAGCAAGTGGGAACTGGGTGACCACATGAGCACCCATGGAGATGGAATTTGACCCCTCCAAAGAGTGAGCCCTTGAGAGCTGGKCTTGGAGAGGGAACATAAGCCAAGTTCTTCTTGGCTTCTTCCCACCTTCACCTCTGGTCTCCATCTCCATCCAAGTCTAGGCTTTCTGTTCTGTAAGCCCCAGCCTAAATGTGAGGAATCCTGCCCAGGAAGCAGCTGGTTAGATTTTCYTCTCTTCCTTGGTAGTCTTTGGCTCTCTAGAGTTTTCCCAGCATAACTCATCCCCATCCAGCTTCTCTTCTGCCCACACGCCGTTACTGACCCTCACTCTGTGCAAACCTCAGCAGCCCYGCTGGACGTCCGGCACTTGCAGCATCCACGGAAGCATCGTGGGTTTTCTCAGCAGCTGCTAAAACTGGTGTTAGGCCATTTAATTTTTGTTCTAGCAGAAATAAGTCTTCCATGAATTCTACCCAGACAGCAGCCACAGCAAAGCCTGGAGCAGAAAAAAAAAACAGGACAAATTTTTAGATAGGTTTTTTTTGGGTTTTTTTTTTTCTGTGGGGAAGTTGTGTTGACTCATTTGTCTGTCAAACCGATGTTATCAAACCAGCATGAACCCTGCTGTGAATACTCTTATTTCAGCTCCGTTTAATTCTGTTACCAAGCAACTTCAACTAAAGCAAAATACGGCACTTGCACAGAAACGAGAGCGCGCACATGAGAGTGGAACTGGTTGAACTGTAGTAAAACTAGTTGCAGTTCTCTTACATTTTTTTTTCCTGTTGGGCTCTGCTGCTATGACTTTCCTATAGTTATGTTTCCATGGAGATTTCCTTTTTTTTTTTTTTTCCCCCTAATCTCTAAATTTCTGAATTTCTGACTAGGAAGAATGTAAAAGGAGTGCGTCTTTGTCCAGGATTTCTGAACATCATCTGGTCCGAGCAGGGGCTCAGGCTGTCCTGAGTCCAAGGCACATCAGAGGCGCTGGCTGCAGATCCAGGCTGCCCCACCTGTGCAGTGAGCCCAACGTGCTCAGAGGATGCTGAGCTCAACGCACGGGAGGAGAAAGCAAGACGCCCGACTCAACCCTTGCTTCTGCAGAGCCCAGGAGAAAGCTTATTGCCCAAAGTAAATCTTCAGGCCACCTTCGAATACGCTCATGATGAGTACCAGCAGRAAAAATACCATATATTTCTGATTAACATGTATGAGTTCATGAAGGGAGAATGTAGGGAGGAAGGGGCCAAGCTCTTCTCATTGGTGGCCAGTGACAAGACAAGAGGAAATGGGTATAAGTTGAAACCCAGCAGTTCCATCTTCATGGAGGAGGAACTTCTTCACTATGAAAGTCCCAGGGCCCTGGAATAGGCTGTCCAGGGAGGCTGTGGAGTCTCCTTCTCTGGAGGTCTCCAAAACCCATCTAGATGCCGCCCTGTGGCCCGTGCTCTGGGTGTCCCTGCAGGAGCAGGAAGGTWGGACTAGATGATCTCCAGAGGTCCCTTCCAACCTGGAACATTCTGTGATATTCAGTTCACATTGAACTGTTCGACTTGGGCTATGAATATCTTGGCCTCCCGATACATAAGTGCCCAGCAGAGCTTCAGATGTTCATTGGCAAGGCCAAGTGAATCAGGCTGGACAGCTTGGGACGSGTTTCTTATTGTCATTTTGGCTCCTTGCATGGTCCTGGGGCTAAGCTGCRCAGCCTGCGCCAAGCGTGCCGGCAGCGGGAATTTTACTGGGGTTCCCTAGCGAGGCTGCTAAAGCCATGAGGACACGAAACAAAATTGTGCGATTTGCTACAAGCTCTGCAAGCAACTTGAGGCACCGGCTGAATTAATCCCCAATTTAATTAATGCCGCTGTAAGCCCACAGATAAAAAGAGCAGCTCGCGAGTTGTGCAGAAACACCGTCGTGCTCATGGTAATGTATGTTAATGTATTTTAAAAAGGCAGGCAGCGGGAGTTTTCCCTCCATCCCCAGCCTGGGTCACAATGAGGAATGAATTGAAAAGCACCGAAAGATGGTCTGGGGCTAGGCTTCCCAAAATGATGAAATGAGTTTAAAAACCACGCGACACCAACCCGAAACCATAATAGATTTGATTTTGGAAGATTTTCTGGCTCCTGAGCCTGCAGTTCCCAGGTTTCAGTATTTTCAGGGAGGTTTTTTACCTTTTAATTGATGATTGCAAAAAAAAAAAAAAAMAMAAACCCAAGCTTGAAGAAACATCTGTGAAAGCTTAATCTGTCACTTAGAAAACAAATATTTAAGATACACTAATGCTTCTCGGTTGCCAATGTGGAGCTTGAAAGCATTTAGGATACAGTAAAGGAGGAGCAGCCCAGGCATGTCGTGTCAAAGGGTTTTGTAGTTGCGAGTTTCATTTCTTACCATCCAAATGCAAATTAGTTATAGCAAAATAAATCTTAGAAGCAGCGGTTTTTCAAAGACAGCTTTGTACTTACAGTTTTCAGTTCTCATGCAATTCTCGCTGCAGGAGCAATGGAAGATTTTTGGCTTTTGGCTGCATTTCTGAAGATGCTGCCTATTTTCTTCTTCTTGGTATTGTTGATTATGAAAATTAATAACTTTATTTCCTAAAAGCAGAGGTTTGGGCTTCTTTGCTGCAGTGTGGCAAATCCGTTCGCCTCCCCGTCCTTGATTACTCACAGTTACATGCCAGGGCTTTCTGTTTCAGATCCCAAGCCCTGTCCCTTTTAAGTCCCCTGCAGATATTTGCAAATCGTGATGCTGAATRTACAATGATGTACACACAAAAATGCCCAGATATGCCAAGCACTTGGTGGGAAATACATGGATTTAGCTCAGAGGTGGATAGACCTGAGGAAGTACAGTGTGAAATGCAGCAATAGGCAGAAGAATTTGGGCCTAAAAATGCTTCAACAAAACAGTTCCTTTTTTCCAACAAGTTAGACAAAATGCAGGCTTTCTGCTGAAGCGTGTAATTACAGAAGGAAGCATATGGTAGCTCCGTGGAAGTGTTGGAAGGGGGTCAACACCAGGCAGAGCTCTTGAGCTGTTTAGCGTTGGTGCAAGTGGGTGTTACGTGGAAACAACAGCCTAGGGCTTGACATTGGAGAGCTGGTAGGAGGTCCCACCTACTCTGGGCACCCATAAGGTTGGATGAGGACACAGAGCTCGTGGAGGCTCTTCATTTCCAAAAGTTGCACGAGGAAGCTCTCTAGCATTGAAATATTTTGGGGGGCAGCGTGGGAGAACTGTTGGCAGGAAGGTGACCCTCRATGGAGAAACAATGAGGAGCTCAAATGAGATAGGGCAATGCTGATCTTGAACAGACAGCGGGAGATGGCATGTTCACGTCTTTCTGCCATCTCCTGGAAGGAGAGGAGCCAAACTACTGCTGAGCAAGGCAAAGACACGCAAAGTTTTTATTGTGGTGGGCTCTGGAGAGTCCTCGCAGTGCTGTCCTGTTCCTCGCGGTGCCAGGAGGATGCTGAGGCATGATTGAGGTTGACACTCTTGAATCTTGAGCAGAAGCAGAGCCTGCCTGTTTTCTCCAAGGATGGTCTTGGTCAACGCCAATGCTTTGGGAGACTTTGCTTGAAATGCCCCGTCCACACAGGAATTCAGCCGGCTCTGATCTGCTCCTGCTCACACAAATGTAGCATGGGAAGAGCAGGTTGAAGGCCACACGAATCCCTCTCTGTGCTAACGMTGCAGCCAGGTGGGATTCAGAGGAGATCCCTGCACACGCTCCAGCAGCTACGTGAGACCACAGACGATAACAATCCTGCTGGTCAGTAATCGTGGCCTCGTCTGGATACCAAAAGTCCTGTGGTCCAGATGAGGAGCAAATATGTGATTACGTTAYGTGGCGCGTCCGTGGCATCAACAGATGAGTTTACTTTCAGGCTTAGAGGAGGAGACCAGTGGTCTTTTTGACACAGACCCAAATCTGTTAGGTAATTTTTCATCTCACCTGGTTGAGAAATAGAGGGTCAATTGTTGAATGTATGTTTCTTTTAAATTAGTCAGCTCTTTCTTGCCTTCCCTTCTGCCATACTTGATGACTTAAAGATCTTTGCTGTACTTGAGTGACAGGCTGGCTTGATACCTAGTTTCTTAGAAAGTTCATCTCCACAGGATATGGGGGGAGAAGGGAAAAAAATGACCTTGCAGTCAAATATGATCCTGCCCACAGCCAGCTGTAACGTGAACGGCCTCGTCCTGTGGCGGCCCTTTCGTCCTTCTCCTGCTTACCTAACCTGCTGCCTTCTTCTTCCAGAGGAGACGACGTTCGAGGCTGGAGTCAAAGTTCAGATCCACAGCCAGTCTGAGCCACCATTCGTCCAAGAGCTTGGCTTCGGTGTGGCCCCTGGTTTCCAGACCTTTGTAGCCACCCAAGAGCAAAGGGTAAGTTACCTGATTTCATCTTCCTAACTTAAGCCCTCTAATAGGTTCATATGTTAGGCCGCTTCTCTGGAAGGAAGTCCCTTGAGAAGAGTTTGATGATTACAGCTTTTCTTGTTTCTCAGACACCTTTTGCTTCCAATAGGTTCTCCAGTTGACTGGCTTGGTTTGGGCAAGGACAGGTCTTGCATCACCATAGCTTTGAGGAGAGAAGGGTGTTCAGCCCTGGCGTGCTTGCTTGGCATGCTTTTTCATTGCTCCAGTAAAAGCTGTGGCAGTCCCTTCCAGTGCCTCACAAGAAGAGGCTTCCATTCAAAAGGATCCCGTAAAGAGTTCCGAGGAGAGCATTTCATTAGGTAAATCAGCTCGAATTCTTTCTGGTAACACAGAAATACTCTTGTTATTTACTCCCACCAGTAGGAAGCTCATTTCTCCTCGTACAACGCTCTCTTGTCATCCCAACAGCTACACATCAGCAGAAATGGATGTGATGAGACATAGCATAGTTAGACCCAAATACTTTTTAGGAGTCTAGAAAAACAGCCAGCAGAATAAATCCCTTTCTCAACTTAGTCCCAGTGCTGGCATTTATAGCCTTCCTGCCTTGTTGTGCCTTATTTTCCTCCATGCTTCTGCTTCACCCTTAAACGAGACATGAATCAAATTCAAGAAATAACAGGAGCTGTTTGAGGATTTGCTCTGATTAAATCTCTATGGGGAATCAGAGCTGCGGTAGTTGTATTTTGGCTTGGAAGAGCAATTCACCACCAAATGTGTCTTGAAGCCGTGGTCACTTCATGGACTCTGGTACCAAAATGCACCTGAAGAAGCTGTATTTCCGTGAGTTTGGATGCAGAGCCTCTGTTTTCGATGAGGATGCATACATGCATAACCGTTCAGGAGATATCGAACGGTGTGGGCTCCTCGTAGGCGAGCGCCAGGTGGAAGCATCTCAGTTTCAGCCAGGAAAGGTTTTTCTGTTGTCAGTCTCTATCACGTGGGAAGTCCGTTGGATTACAGAAAATGAGCAGCTTTCTCGGAGCGCAGAGCACTCCTTTTGAGCGTAACACCTTCGTAACAGGGAAGGCAGAAGACTCTTTGGGGGCCGAGGCAACAGCTGCTGAAGTTCAAAGCAGCTGCTCTCTCCTTGACACATCATCTGCCTGCCAGTCCCAGCCTTGCAGGGGCTCGAGCTCCTCGAGCCCATCCTTGCGCAGGGAGATGCATTGAGGCCACCTCACTGCCCAGGTGGAACTTCCTGGATGGCCATAAGAGCTGAGATTGAGATGGGAGGATATTTGTTTCCTGCATGGCCTCGTGGGCTGGGATCTCTCTGCCTCCAGCAAAGGTGGAGGTGAAGCTCATCCCTGGTGCCCCGGGCAGTGATTCAGCCATCTCAGCTCCATGCTGGACCACTGCTGTCAGGGAGAGGCTTCATGCTTGGAAGGGTGATTGACCACACGTTGCTGTGTGTTTTCCAAGGGGCATGTTGCCAGCAAGAAAGCCGTAGTGCCCAAGAGGTTGCCCATGGGTGCAGGAGACCTGTGCTGAGCTGAATCCTCTGCCCCAGGGTCAACCAGTGGAGCTAAGTTAAACCCCAGCTGACCACTGGGGAGAGGGTTAAGGTCAAGGGTAATGTTCAGCTGGACTTTAACAGCTCTTGGGTCTTTCTCTGCCCTCCCCTACCATACAATTACACACAAAGGGCTGCATTTCCCAAGAGAAGCRTGGGAATACCCACCTAAACCAACTCGTTAGGGAAATAAGAGAAACAATAATTTAATTGTTCAGAATTATCCCACCTCTTGGAAACCGGCCAGTCATAGTTAGTTTGTAGTCCATGCCTGTTTGCTAGAGCCAACCTGGCCTAAAAAATTGTCCTTTTACCRTATTCTAATTGAAAAGCCAGCGGAGGCTTGGAGGACCAAGAAATGTGTGCCCACGCGCAGAGCAGAGAGGACCCATTGCCACCGTGTTGGGCACTTCATCCCCAGCCTCCAGAACCTGTTTGGGATGCAGGTATCTGATTTATTCATTAGCAAATACTAAATCTCCAGGACTGGGATCGGGACATGCTGTGCCTGCAATGAGCTGAGGTGAAACTGCAGAAACTCTGAACATCCCTGAGAGCACCGAGTCCAGCACCAAGCCATTTACCTGGGGCCTAAACCAGGGGCTTTATATCACCATTAAACGCAAATGAAATGATCCTCTGTCCAGAGCAGGCTAGAAATCTTCAGCTAAAAACAAGGTCTTTTCCCTACCCTCAGCCCAGAGGAGCCTGTCTATTAATTATAAGCACTTTTTCCTGCTCAGCTTCAAAAAAATAGGTGTGGAATCAGCCAGACTTGTCTCAACGTGACGGCGATAGCTTCAAGAAAGCAGCTTTGGGCTGCAGGCTGTTTATTTGTGCCTGGGTCCCAGGTCCTTGCTTTATGTCTAGCTCAGTTGCTACCCCCTGCTGTGTCTGGCGAATCTAGCCTTTCACCCCCATCCCTACCGTCAGTATGGGAATAAGACCAGATGCGGTTGCTGCTAATTAATTCCCTTCCCTGCTTCATTAGAGCTGCTAATTGATGCCTCCAGTTGGTCCCACCCGTGGGGACGTAGCCACTTCTCTCCAGTGGCAGCTTCTTGCCGCTGTCTGCAGGGATTTTCCTCTTGTATCCGCTCCTTTTCCCCATCTCAGGTGCTCCCTGCACGTTAGAGAAGATGAGAAGCGCACTAAAATGCTAAATTGGCAATTTCTGCCAGTTTGRCAATAAAACTTTAAGAGGTTTCAATTAAGCAACAGGTTCGAAGACAGAGCAATATTGCTTAATAGGGCGGGAGATCTCCTGGTACTGCCACTCTGGGGATGCCRCAACCCACTTTTCCCAGCCTTTATCCGAATTATCCGGGTAGGAGATGAAATGCGTCTCCCCGTCTCCTCCAGGGATGTGCATTGTCCCGCTGTCCTCCAGAGAGGACCCGTGGCCAAGCGTGGTGGCCGAGCAGCGAGGAATTTGATTGCAGACTCTTGTGATTACAAATGACACAGCACAGGAGAAGCAACAGGTCTTTGAAGCCGTGATTGCAACGGAGGCTGCAGGTGACAGACCTTGATGAGCCCCTTGGAGAGAGAAGAGCTCGTCGACTTGCTCAAGGGAGGCCCAGTCTAGCCAAGTTCAGCACCGAAGGATTTGTCGGTCCGATCTTGCCTGCAAGAGAAAAGAAAAAACAGATTTGCCCATAAAACTTGCAGACTATGCGTGTAGCAGCATTTCTACTGAAAAAAATGATGGGCAGAGAAGCACCTGGATTCCCAGCACCTCCGTGCAGCTCCCYACACTGTTGCTCAGGCTCCTTACCTCAGCGGGCTCTGCTTCATAGCCAGGAGCTTCACAGGGCAAAATTCCTTTGGAAAAGCAGTATTTTGAGCGCTCCTGAAGCCTCCTTGCAAAGCCATCTCCACCAGATGCAAGGTGCTTTTCTCCAAAACAAGAGCCCAGAGACTGCAGAGCAAGAACATCTCCATGGGTGTTCAGTGCATGAAGAGCTTTTTCCTGCTCCTAAATATGAGCAACCCAGACAGTGAYGGAGAAGGCAAGAGCATGAAGGAGACCAGGCTGCCTGTGCTTGCACGTGCCATGTGCTCGGGATGCCAGGAAAACGGGCATTGCAACMGGGGTTGTGCTGGGAAGAGGGCTCATCCCATCGGAGATGGCGATGATTTATTCTCCCCTTTATCACACAATGTGCAAACATATGGGCCCCTCTCTCCGCTGTGGATGACTAAACGATGGCAGCTGGTGCTCTGTTCTGTTGCAAGTGCCGAGCAAATGAGAAGAGATCCCCTGCAAACGGTGTTTTGCCATTGCTGCAGAAATGCACCCGATGCTCTCATTCAAAGGTGCTTTTTTGCTAAATTCCCCCAAACCATCCCATCTAGCGCTGGCCCTGCTCCTTGGAGGATGTGGAGATGGCCGGGAATTGTTTTATTTTTTCTTTCTTTTTAATCTCGCGGCTGTTTTGCTGCAGATGGGATCCTTCCATCACCATCTGCAGCCCTGCATATGCCGGGGATATCGCCTGCGTTTCTCATGGTGTCCACGGAGCATAGGGATGGAGCAGTCACAGATTTCAGGAGTTCCCTGATCCACACGTCAGAGTTTGCAGCTCTTGGGGAACAGCACATGGCACCCAAGGGAGATGCTAGATCAGAACAGGAGCACGGGCAGATCCATACAGGCAAGTGCAGGATGCTATTTCTTTGCACTTATGCTGGCCCAGAATTGGCTATTTTCTGCTTTTCAAGATGCTGGTGAAAGTTGGAGAACCAAGGGTGGGTTCCTCACTGCATTGAGAGCCGCCCCCATCATGTTGAAGTATGCAGGAGCTGAGCCTTGGTGTGTCCTGGGGCTTTTGCAAGGAGAGACTTTGACCTGGCTTTTCATCATGGTGAGGGTGTGTGGCTCATCTAGAGGATGGACCATCCTGGTCCATGTGCTCGCAGTGGGTCGCTCCTCAAAGTCCTTTCCCCAAGGAGACCAGCGAGAATGCAAGAGCTGCAAAAGAGTGGCTGAGACCAGATGTGGACCCTGCAGGAGACCCTACGTGGTAGCAATTGGCTTGGGTTTGCCACCACTGCACTTCTAAAGAAGGCTCCTGGAAGSCTCTGGAGCATTTCGAAAGGCTTAAGGCGTTTAGGTGGTGAAGTCGGCTTGTGATGCACCTCTCCAGCAGCGAGCAACCCGCACCAACCACTCCTGTAAAASCTGCATCAGCCTTTTGGGGAAAGAAGCCCGGAGGAACCAGCCTGTTACTGGCAGTTGCAGCAAGCAAACGAGGGGAAGCAGCAAGGCTCCCAAGGGTTCCTAGCTCCCAAGTGATTCACAAGTGAAAGCTAAAGGGAGTTTGCCCAATGGTCTGGCCTTGCAAACTGGTGCACAAGGTGAGCATCTCTACACAGGGTGCTTTGAAGACACTGTGGTCTTCAACGGATGCTTTGAAGACCCATGAGTACTTACCCTTGGGGAGATACTCATGCCAGAAACCTAAAGCAGAGYTCTCCATGTAGCTCCTGGCACTGGATTTTTGTCAAAATTCCAGCAGGTCCAAGCCTGAAGTTTTCRTGGAGTGGTTATTCACTCAACAGGCCTTCACTTTGGGGTTAGCTCTTCCCTCCTGCCCTTTCCACACAGCTCCCAAAGAGACCCAGGCACCGCAGAGCCTCGCCATCAGGTCCCAGGCTCGCAGTCCGTCACCATATGTTTATGTATTTCTTTTAGAGTGAGGTTAATGTTGCCACATTTTTAAAGGGATGTTTTTGTTCCGCCAACCTGCTTTGCCATCAAGAATCGTGCCGTGTTTGGAGCAAAGCACGGCGAATTGGACGTGGCTCTAAAACACGGAGGAGGAGGGGTTGGGGAATGAGACACAGTGCTATTTTCTGCTCTCTAGCACAAGAGTATTGCAGAGCATTTAACAAAGATAAAAAGAAATGTGAAAGGCTGCCAGGCTGCAGACGGAAGGGAAGCAAGGTATCTTTTGGCTGGGGGACCAGAAGGTGACTGTTTTTCTTCCAGGATATTTTGGGCTCTGAATGAGGTGGCTTCTGTGGTTGATCGTCGCAGTTTTGCTTTTCTCATCTTTGTGTTTGCGCTCCAAGGTGTTAAATAAAGTGGTAATAGCAGCAGAAGGGCTTGCATTGCATTAGCACTGAACACACCAGGTTATGAGCCAGGACTTCTCCGTGTGCAAGTACCGGGGAGCAAAGTAGAGCTTCATCCTCATCGGATGCCAGGAGGGCTGGTAACCTCTAGCAGCTCAAATTGCTGCGCTGGCGGCTGCTCCTGAGCCAGGAAAGGGCCAAGAATGAATCTTCTCCCTCCTCAGACCCTTCAGGGAGCTCCTGCTCTGCAGACCTGCTCCCACCATGGCACCTCTCTGTGCCAACCCATCCYTGGTCCTTTCCCTTCACCTCCTGACTCCCTGAAGGTTTAAATCAGGTGCATTCATTCCCCCTGGCCAAAGTGGCAGTGAAAGGAATGTGCTGGTTTTGCTCACCCTGTCACCCTATCTGCTCACTTCATGTCACCGGTGCTTTCGGACCGGAGATCGGAACAAGCAGGGGCAGGATCTAACTGATGGGATTCCAAGGATGCCAGGGCACAAGGAAGACCCRAAGGGGCAGAGGTTCCTCAGCGCCCACACCGACCCGTCCCTGGGGTCCCCTAACGCGCTGCTCTCGCCTCTCTTGCAGCTGACCTACCTGCCTCCGCCGTGGGGTGAATGCCGCTCGTCGGAGATGGGCTTAGACTTCTTTCCCGTTTACAGCATCACAGCTTGCAGGATCGACTGCGAGACCCGGTATATCGTGGAGAACTGCAACTGCAAAATGGTTCACATGCCAGGTCAGTGCRCGAGGAGGGCAGCGGTCAGCCCGGACGGTGGCATTAGCGGCTGGCTGGCTGCTCTGGGGGGTTTCTATCAGAGTAATTTTTCTCTATTAGCAACCTCACGTCTGGCTTTGTGGCAGGCAACGAGTACCTGCTCAGAGGTGGTTAAACCCAGGTCCAGAGTAGGTTGAGACAGATGTGGAATAAATTGCACTTGCTCCTGATTAAGGGTGCATGTGGGGAGCTTGCAAGCGTAGCGATTTCAGCATGATTTTCCCATGAAAGGCACTTGGGTTGCCTCCAGGGCAGGATGGCAGCCAGCTGGACAGGAAGAGCCCTGATGCTTTTCGGCAGCAGAAGGCTGAGCCCCGGGGCTCTGCCTGCACTCACGGGGCTGGATTCCTGCAGCAACACTGACCTGGAGCCCCACAGATCCCACAGGGAACAGCAAGGAGGGATTAGGGATATAAGGAGCTGRGAATAACTCCGTCCTGTAAAGAGGGACTTAATAACCTTAGCAAAGTGCTCTCGAATCGCATCCAAAGTATCCTGCACCAGGTAGAAGGATGTGGGTCTGAGGCAGGGAGGAGCAGCGGGATTAACCTAGTGCTGCACGTCCCTAATGGACCTCCAGRACCAGCTTTGACAGGGATCTGCTTTGTGTAGGTGACTGCAGAGATGGTCCCTTGCGGTGACCTGGTGGCTGGTCCCACTGATGGATATTCCCTTTCTGTGCAGGGGATGCTCCTTTCTGTACTCCGGAGCAGTATAAGGAGTGCGCAGAGCCAGCCCTTGGTGAGTACTAGGAGGGGTCCCCACTGCAACCCCGGGGTGGGTTTTGCAGAGACCCTRGGCTTGGGTGGGATAGACCTGTCCTGGGATTGGGTTTAGGGCACCTAGCGGAATCAGAGCCATGACAAAAGGGTGGCACTAACAGCATGGGTCACATCTACAGTCACAGCCTTTCCCCCAGCCCCTGCTGGTAACAGCCCAGCTACCAGCAAAGGCTTTCTCCAAACTGGTAAAAACAGCCATGCTGTAAAGATAGAGACGAACAGCCTGGGACTGGGTCTTCTGCAGCTCGTAGCTTCTGCAGTCTGGCAGCTTAGCCCTTCTCTGGACAGCAGCAGCTTCCAGCTCCAGTGCATCTGAGCAGCTCCCTGAGATCTCCCTCTGTTACCCTCTCTAGGTTTGCTTGCTGAAAAGGACAGCAATTACTGTATCTGCAGGACACCCTGTAACCTAACCAGGTACAACAAAGAGCTCTCCATGGTCAAGATCCCCAGCAAGACATCAGCCAAGTACCTGGAGAAGAAGTTCAACAAGTCAGAAAAATATATCTCGTGAGTGGTGCAGAATACAGGTCTTCTTTGCTGTATGGGAGGGAAGGTGTCTCGAAGGTGTCACTGGCCTTAGCAGCAGTAATTCCACACTGGGAATCCTTCGGGTATTTGCTGGTATCTAGAAAGCAAGACCCAGTGCTCAGGGGGAACATCTGGGCAGAGATTCTGGGGATTAAGTTCTCCAGCTTGTGCTAAGGTGGTGGCTGCCAGGCTCCTAATGGTGTCTTCTGGCCTTGGTCTCCAGGAGACCCAAATGCTGGTGGGTTGCTGAGGTCACCACAGAGAGAGCAGACAAGACAGGGAGAGGAGTAAAAAGGCCAACAAGTCCCAATTTTCCCTGTCCGAAAGCTGTTGTCCTGTTTCTACAGAGAGAATATTCTTGTGCTGGACATATTTTTTGAAGCACTCAACTATGAGACGATTGAGCAGAAGAAAGCCTATGAAGTGGCAGCCTTACTTGGTAAGGAGAGACTGAGGTGACATCTCTCACCTTTCAAGTGAAATACGAGAAATATGTGGTCAGCTTTTCCAGGCTCTGTTTTCATTGCGTTCTCCCTTTCCTAGGTGACATTGGAGGCCAGATGGGACTATTCATCGGTGCTAGTATCCTCACTATACTAGAGCTCTTTGATTATATATATGAGGTAAGAGCATCTCATTCCACCTGTCCCAAGCCCTTTTTCCCAAGAGGCTGCCTGCTCTGTCTGGCTGCCTTGCAGCTCAAATCCCTTCCAGCGAGGCCAATTCCCACATTTCTTTGCTCTCTGATGTGTTACCGTGCACTGAAGATGTGAGAAAGGCCTCGTTTTGCAGAGGGATGCAGGGAGAAAATTCCCTTTCCCCATCGCCAGCAAAATCCATCTCCGCCGCCCCGTGCGGTTATGCCGGTCCAATGCATTGCCACGTGCTCTACTTGCTGAACAAAACCATTTTAGTACTTTCAATAAACCATTTTTCTGTGCTGTCCTCAGGGTTAGCCCCTAGCAGTTGCATCCGTGCGTGTCCAAGCAGTTAAACTGGGTGGGTGCAGCAGGACTCSTGGCGATGAACTCACTGGAGCATCTCGAAAACCTCTTACGCCGCCGGAGTCGGGAGGACTCTCCTGCGCTGCAAGGCGGCCGCCCGCCRCCGCAGTCCCTTCTGGGCAGCTATTAAGACTCAGTAGCATTATTCGGCAATAAAAGATATTGAAAATTGCGAGCATAAAGCTAATAACGGCTCTGGAGTGCAAACAAAACCTGTTCTTGGGTTTATAGCTTGGTCTGCATGCATGCAATATTTCATTAAAATCGTCTGTTCTGGGATTTCTTGGGGTTCTTCCGTAAGACACGAAGAAGAAATCATCTCTMCAAGTTTGGTTTATTTTTTGCCCCTGTCTGCTGTTTGACATCTGCTTACAGAACTTGGCAAATAGCTTTTCCAGTGCCTTGTGGTTTTTTCCCTTTTGGGGCTTCTGGGATTTTTTTTTCCCCTTCTTCTTTTTGGGCTGTCCTAGGAGCTATTCTCCTTGGAAAGACTTCATCCAGCCGTGCACAAGGCAGAGGGCATCTGCAAGGACACCCRGATTCCCACTTTCAACTTGATCCTAGACATGTTTTTTTTTTTCCCTAATTCCCTTAAAATAGACTTCGTTTGGTGCCAAATTGCATTCCAGGGCTGCTGGCCCATGGCCAGTCCTGTATCCCCGGCAAACATTTCCACCTCCTTACCAGTGTCAATATTGCTGTCCTAGCAACTGACCCCGTCGTTTAAGTTTTCAGCTTGCTTCTTTTTGGTGTTTTTCCCCCCAGGAGAACGTCTGCAAAAAAATCTGCTGCTTTCCAGTGTTTCCAGGATTTCCCTTGAAAATGAAATATGTTTTTTGGCAGCGGCAGCTGCCGAGCAAGTAACATGGCTTTGAAGGAAACACTGCTCAGGCAGCTGACTTTTTTTGCAATATACCCCCAAAGCTATTAAATTATTGCAATCAAAAAATTGCAATATACCCCCCAAAGCTATTAAAAATTAAAAAATAATATATATATTAAAAATATATATAAAATATGAGGGAGTGGGTTGTTCTTATTACTATTATTATTATGTTTGTGTGGAGAGGTGGAGCCCTGTGGGATTGCCCTGCTCCATGCCTTGCCGACAGCCCCATTGACCGGGAAGGGCGCCCGGCCGTTCCTGCCCCCTTTCACCAAACCTTCCTCTCTTGCAGCTGATCAAGGAGAAATTGTTAGACCTCCTGGGCAAGGAGGAAGAGGAGGGGAGCCATGACGAGAACGTGGTAAGGAGCGGCGGAGCGGCGCGGCTGCCCGGGGGCGGCGGCGGGGGGCTCGGCRCTCACCGCCGCCGGCCGCTCTCGCCCCCGCAGAGCACGTGCGAGCCGCTGCCAAACCACTCGGAAACCATCAGCCACACTGTGAACGTGCCCCTGGGGACGCTGGAGGAGATCGCCTGCTGACAGCGGCCGCCAGCCCCGCCGCGCCGCCGCCTGCGGAAGGGAACCCGCACGGGGAAGCGGGGACCGAGCTCAGGTTTGCAACGGGGGAATTAAAAAATTTAAAAAATCAATAAAATTWAAAAAAAAGAAGAAAACCGCTATGCATTTAAAAAAACAAAATAAATATATATATATTTATATATATATATGATATATACTCTGCCAAAACCGGAGAGGCGCCTTGGACTTGACTCACGTTGCCCTTTCCTGTTGGGGAGGGGGGTTGTCTTCGAAACGCGAAGGCAGCGGCTCATTTTGCGAACTGTGCAAAACGAAAACCCACCAAAACGGGGGGAAAAAAAAGAAAAAAAGGAAATAAAAAAATGAAACTCACCATTTCATATACTGCCAAATGTATAAAGCACTTGCATGCCAACTCTTTTTATGGCAATCTATATTCCTATCTGTCTTTATAAGCTCTGTTCCTCTTTACAGTCTCTGATTTTCACTACCGAGAAGGAACTCGCGGGCCCAGCCATCCCCTGAAATCACCATTACTAACGTCGTAGGCTGAATTATAGAATAAAGAAACAAACAAAGTCGCAGCTCTCGGATTCTTCTTCCGTTCTTAGCTGTCGTGTCCGTCTGTGATGCCTCCTAAGCTCAGCCGGGTGCCCCCAAGGTGGGGCACCATGGGGATCCATCCACCCCGCAGCTTGGACAGCCCTTCTCCAACAGGGTGGGCACGGAGCCGTTGGTTTTCRTTATTTTTCTTTTTTTCCCCTTTTTTTTTTTTATTTTCTTCCATTCATTTCTTCTGTGCTTTCTCCTCATTCTCACGACTGATATTAAAGCTGCTCTTGTGGAAATGGCCGAGCTGTGTCATTTCTGCTGTGCCCCAGTGCCTTGGCCGGGTGATGGTAGCCCAGATGAGCCGGGGCCTGCCGTCACCCCTCGACTCCTGCATCTCTTTGTCCACCCTCCCCATGTGCCTGGTGTCACCCRACGTCCTCAGTCAGGTCCCCGTCTGCTCCGTGATGGAGCTCAGCCCGTTGCTTCTGCTCTTCGGGCGCCCACCCAAGTTGGGCCAGCTCCATGTTGCAGTTGTGGCCGCCCCACTTGTATGAACCACCYGGAGCATCACAGGAGCCTCGTCAAAATGACCCAGTTTTGCTGCAGCAAAAAGAGAAAGAGTTTCTCAAAGCTCCTACTCCTGCTCTTCTCTTAGCCTGGGCAAGCAGGCAGCTTGTGCCCACGTGCTGGTGGCATTTTGCTAATGCCATTTATACAGGAAAAGCATCACTTGAATGGGCAAGCTGGCACCAGTGATTGCTCCTGGAGATAGTAGCCTCAGAGGGACTTGCTGACAGGCCCATTTTGGAGACCTGGGCTGAGGCCACACGTGTTGAATCCCATGGGAGGCCACCAGCTGGCAAAAAGCGCCTGTCCCCAGGCTGGCTGCGACACTGGGGAGTCATCAAGCACCACCTCCCGATGCCAGCGCTCTGTGCCAGCTGGGTCCCCCGGTCACCTCCTGGGCTGCTGCTGCCAGACCAGCTCCAGGTGCCACCTCCAGGCTCTCAACCCCTTGCATGGAGCAAGGCAGCAGCCAAAGCTGGGCTGCTTGTGCAAGCTGGTCTTTCCACCTCTTGTGCTCAGTGTGGTTGGGTTTCAGTCCAAGCAGGAGCTCAGGGCTCTGCAGRTTCCAGCTCCCAAATACACAGGGAAGTCACGAGGCAAGAAGGCATCTGGATGGGATGTGGGCATGGGGCATGAGACCTACTGCCCTCTGCCAGAAGGTCATGAGCCTTTTTAGTCTTAGCAGACTCGATCTAGCTTAGGGAGTCTAAGATATTGGGGGTCTCCAAACTCCCTTGTCCCGACACTGACCTTCCTCTTGCAGGGGAGGCTGCTGCTGGACTGCAGAGGGCTCAGAGCAGAGCCGCACGGGTGGCTTGGAGGTGTGGGAAGCCTTCAAAATTCAAGTCATATAGTCGATGAGAAGGAAGGTGAAGAGGTGGCTCCACGGAGCTGCAAATCCTTTTGCAGATGGATTTCTAATAAAAGAGTTTTTAATCCAGCAGTGCCTGGCTTCATCCCATCCCCTAAAAGGCCAGAATTGCACCCAATTCTCCGCTGTGCCCTTTCTGTCACCCCAGGAACGTGCAAGCAGAGCCTGGCCAGGTCAGTGCCCCCGAGCTGCTTCTCCACTCGCAGCTCTCTCTGCGTTCCACGTCTTTGACGTTCAGGGCAGTTGAAAAGCCAGCTATATTTCACTTGCTTATCGCGCTGAAAGCAGCAGGATCTCAAAGAGAGGCAGGGAACAAATAATTACCACTGGGTACAAACTGTTTCTCTGTCAAGGACTCAGCGTGGCCATTGATTAGAGCACGTCATGTCGACGCCGGCTCTCTTATCTATCAGCTGTGAAGGCAAAACTCATACTTGGAGAAGGGAAACATTATGCCACATCCTAAGGGGGCCCCTCCGGGAGGCTGGGAACATTACTCGTCCACTACACTAATTAAACCCCCTATTAAAACCAGCATTTTCAGGTGTGGACATGCTGCAAGTGGCAGAAGTGCTGCAAGGGAAGCCACGTGCTGGAGCAGAGCCTGTCCTGATGCTCTCCCCCTCATCCTGGTATCCTCACCCACCTCCCTGCTCCTGACATCCCAATTATTGACTGTTCAGACCCTGGGGTTCGGAAGCTCAAGGGAGTGGGACAATCTTCACAAGAAGGTGCAGGCTCCCGTGAGGATTTTAGTGGCATCGGAGGCTGCCCCACGTGGCCAAGCCTCCTAGGAGCTGCTGGAGCCCACCAGCTCCCTCGGGGTCTGTGCAGCGTGGTGCTCCACACCACACAAGATGTGGCCCGTTGTCCCCTGCCACCTCGGTGCCCCTTACACCAGGGAAATGCCACCACATCAGCAGGCTCTTCCCAGTGGTGAGGGGTCAGGCTTTTTCCCTAGTTCTTCTATGCTCACCATGCTGGTCGCTACGCCCCGAGCACAACCCACCATCAAGCCTCCAGAAATCAGGAGGTTGCCTTCAACAGTCACAAGACATTCCTTGCAGGAGATACATATTAGGTGGGGGATCTTTCTGGTTGTGATTTTCTTTTCCCGGTGCCTCCCACCTCCAGCGCGAGGAAGGTGACATTCCTTTCGCAGCTTCGAGCACTCAGGAAGAAGCCTGGAAAGGTGCAAAGAAAACTGCTATTCTCACGCAAATCCCCTGCTTCTGCCCGCCTGCACAGCCAGGATGCTCCCGCAGGAGCTGCTGCCACCGCGCCGAGGTGCCCCAGTTTAACACAGTTTTCTTGAGGAATCAGCCCATGAGCTCTCCCTGCCACCCGTTTGTCCAGCAGCTTCCAACCCCATGAGCCCTTTCCCAGGGAATTTGGCTGAGGGCTCGCAGAAATTTCCAGGTCCTGCAGAGGTGCAGTGCAAGAAGGAAAACTCCACCTGGCAGCTCTGCCGGGTTCGAGGAAAAGCAGTGAGGATTTCTTGAGGTTTTGTTAAAAAAAATATAAAAGCAATCCAAAGCCAACATGCTGAGCAAGCTCAGAAAACAGCCACATTCAAGTGCAAGAGGATCTGACAGCAGAAGAGCACTAAGCACTTGATAAATTATTTGCTGCAAAGGATGCCTGCCTTGGCTTTGAGCACGTTTCAAGTAAGGGAGGAAGGAAGGTATAAAAATGATGGGTTGCATCCCCACTCCCACCCTCTCCAGGACACGTCTCCGATCTCTGCAATTCCCCTTGCGTGGAGGCAGTGTCCCTCACCCTAGGCAAAACGTATGACTGAGTTTTTAAAAATCAATTAAAAAGGAAAAAAAAAAAAGTGCTGGAATTTGATAAAGTCCGGGTGACCACACTCCCGAGGCCACCAAAATGAGAAATCACTGGACCCCAGTGGAAGCACCGATGGGGTAAGGCATTCAAAGGGTGAAAAGTCTCTGTAGTTGGCAGAGATGAACACAAAAAAAGTGTCAAAAAAAAAAAAAAACCCAAAACTGAATCAGCCTTAGCCAAAGCACATGGGGAGAACAGGGATGGACACGCCAGGGATCAGGAGCCGAAGCTGCAGGAGAAGAAGCCCCTTTGCCAAGAGCACCATTAAAAGCTCATGAGGCTTCATCAGCAAGCTGGTGGAAGATAGATAGCCCCTCTGGGCCATGTGGCTGGAGTCCTTACACCCATAAATCGCCTTAAATGCTCATGAAGTCAAAGACTCCTGTTCGTACAAGGTAATGGTGGCTGGAAGCTGCTCGGGTGCCAGCTGGAGTCCCAGGTGCTGGGACCAGGGCATGGGAGCAGCAGCCTCATTGCCCTCTGAGGAGAGATTTCCCTGTCGGCGGGGAAAAAATCATTGCACCTGCATCTCTAGCCTCTGCCAAGGGCTTTTGCTTGWAAATGGAAGTTCTTTGGGGGGAAAAAAAAGCAAATGGAACAGAAAGAGAAATTGCCTTGCTGTTCTCACTTGTTTTTCAAATCTGCAAAGAGCAAGGGAGTTTTCCAGGCAAGCAGTTCAAACACAAATGGTTCAACTTTTGAAAGAGAAGAAAGACACTTCCAAACACTGAGTTAGAAAAAAAAGGAACATTTTTGTTTGATTTTGAAGAGAGGTTCTGTTTTTCCCAGGCAGCCTCCCGGTTGTTTCAGTTAGGCAAAGCCTTGTAGGCATAAAAACTTAAATTATTCTGGCAGGTTTCTTGCTTCCTTCAAGAAAATCTTTCTGCCAAAAACCTAGTTCCGTTGCCTCTGCATTGCGGATGGGTCTAAGCTCTGTCTAGTAGATACAGTCTGATTTTGACAAGATTGTGTGCGAGAAGGTGGCCCATTTCCTACCGAGCCCAAGGAAGTCTAACTTCTAGTGGTATCTGGTGTTTTTTCCCAGGTCTTCTCCAGGGCTTTCTGGCAAGGGCCAAGCAGCAAAAAGATAACTCAAGGTTTTGGGGAACGTCACATGTCCACAGACCCGTTGGTCAGGGCTTGGTGCACCCACACGGACCCCAACAGAGYTCACATGATGGGTTTCCCTTTGCAGTCCTTTGGTCTGCAGAACACCAAACGCTTTCCCAAAACATTCCCATATCAACCCCTGGGTCCACCTCCCATGTAGGCTCTTACTGCAGGGG